GTCTTCTCCAAGTTCTTTCCTTCTTTCACGATCTCCTTTGATCTCCTTCCCAAAAATAGTGTAGTAACATGGAAAGTAAAACTTCCTTGATTGTATGTGATTTGGAGATCTTCAGAATTGAGCTTCCAATGGAAATCTCGTGGTTCCAGACTAGTGTAAGAGCACAACTTTCCTAAAATAGCCGATCTTCCAAATCTTCAAAGATCTTGTGGTGAATCTTTCCAAATCCTCCTTAGATCTTCTAGAGAACGTACAGAATTCTTTATGCACGAATTGCTCATCCTTTCATAGTCCTTGCCACCTATTCATTGTCCTACAAGAAATAGAAAACTAATTATGGCGTAGAATCAAGCTCATTAATGCATGTGACATATATGGTAAGTAAATATATAAGATATATATTATGTAATCCTTCTCTTAAAGGTTTAGGATTCTATAATACACATTATAATAAATATATAACATATATTATTAATAATATATAATAGGAACTTAATTAATTAACAAGTAAATAAACAGAAAACTTCCCTTTATTTTATTTTGCTTGCCTAACAAGAAAATCTTCTAGAAAACACTTAGGTTTTTCAGATGATGCCAAACCAATATTCTTACAAAGTATTATCGGCCCATAAAAGCCCTTTCATTCCCAGCCCTTTTTGCAATTATGAAGCGGACCTTAAGGTCTTGTTTTTGGCCCATATCTTGGTATAATCTGGCCCATTTAGAACAGGTATTTGCGCCCCAATATCTTTTTCCAAGTCGAGTCGGCATAGCAGAATAACCCTTTCTTCTTTAATCTCAATCTCGCCAAATTCGCCGCTAACATCAACCAATTTCCTCAGCCCGTCAAGCCTTCATGGATCGATATATCGCCTAAATCCCAGCCTTCCATCGCCACAATCCATAACAGCCCTTGTTTGATTTTCGATCCCGTCGAGATATTCCTAGCCATCGCCGGCGATCTATCTTAGCCACGAACGTCGCCGGGCTGCAACTCCGATCGCCACCACCATCAATGTCGTCCCCTTGCCGTGAGCCCTCCGCAATCGCAGCAGCAACCAGCGACCAGACCTCCCGGCGAACCGCTGCTCCCTCTCCACTGTCGAGCTTTTTCCTCCGCGTGCAGAAGACCCCACACAGTAACTCCGGCGAGCGACCATCGCCGCTCCTCCTCCACGCGCGACCCATTCTGATGAGCGACAACAGTCATCCAAGCGCACCAAACAGTGGCCCTTCACCGACGGCTCACCACCGCCGACCCTTCCGGCGAACCTCCATAGCCGCGCGCCCATTTTCGGCAACCGCACATGACGAGCAGCAGGTCCCCGACGACTCGTCTTCAGCCACAGCTCCTCTGCGAGACGAAGCATCTCCGTCGAGTCATTGCCGCCTCGTTTGCCGCCGCTGTGGATTTTAGAACCATGTCGAGTCCTTGGCCTTATGGGAAGACCTCGGACGAGAGTTACATGTTATGAATCATGTGTGATCTTATCGAACTCGTACACTCGCTGTTTTAGTGTTAAAATTGTTAAAAATTATGTACTACTCGGATTGCCTTGAAATTTTGAGGGTCATGTCTTCTGCTGAGAATCAGACTTGTGTAAAAATTTCATAATTTTTCAAGGCCTGCAGCTATTTTAAATAAATAGAGTGATTCTGAGCAAAAACATGTTAAATGCATAATAAATTGGTCCGTGCTTCAATTGTGCTGAAATTTGAGAATTTTTGGACTAAGTTTGATAGGGTAAATAATTTATTTTGTGAATCTGCAGAAAGTTGTTTTAAATATGATAAATCGGTTTGTTGCTGAAATATTTTGATATTTGGCTGAGATGCTTGTTTTATGTGGAGTTTCATGCTGTAAAAAGATTAGAATTTTTAGAGTTCAAATTGGTGCGGTTTTAGTTAAAATTCGAAAACTGCTGAAACTTGTATGAATTTTTAAAATTCGTACAGTTAATGTCCATGGCTGAAATTTTAATATGTTGTTACTCACGTGCTGTAGTTTGTGGTGTTAAAATATCAGGTCCTGATTCGTTCATTAGGTTTGGATGTAAATTTATGTTTGTTTTTGCTGTTATCTTGTATGTATTTTATAAAATCATATACTTTGAACTTGAGGCTGACACTTGGTGGTTTTTCTAAGTACTAGGAGGTGTATTATTTATTAAAATTTCATAGTATAATTCATAGGGCAACCGGACCAACTAGTTTCATGTGATTATTGGTTATTATTTTCAAAATATGATTTTGAAGTTAAAATCTGTAAATTGACTTGCTTTCTGTTTTCTTGTGTGTTTGACTTTGTCAATCCTTAGTTGGATTTATGTGAACTCCCATGTGTGGTTTGGTTGAGTGTTGTACTGAGTCTAAGTATTCCAACGTTCACAGGATTTCACAAACAACTTAGTCGAATCAAGTTCGACTAAGTCTTATTTGTGTTTTCCGTTTAAGTCAAGATATTGATAGTAGGATCTTGACTTAATGTAGATGTTTGAGGAGTCAAGCCTCGACCTACGTCCTTTCTGAATTTGCTATCGTCAATCCAAACTAACAGGTGGGTTGTTATTTTAAAATTTGCTATCTTGTAAATGTTATTAATGTATAATTTTATGGTATGATCAATGTATGCATGTGAACCATGTAGTCTTCGATGTGAGCTGTACCGGCCGTCGAACGGTTATCCCTGTAGCTATAGAATGTACCCGATGGGTAGTCTCCTTTATTTATGTATGGCCGTAAGACCGGGGCATGGGCCCTCGGCTGGTGATCCCTGTTTGTAAGACCAATTCGTAGGTCTTGGCCGGCGGGGTGGATTACTCCTACTGGCTGGGCATCGTTGTTAAGACCAAGGCGTAGGTTTTGGCATTCGAATCGAGTATAAGCAGTAGTCTATGCGTAGGTGTGCACATGAGGGTTGACTCTGGAATAGGAGATGGGATAATAAATTGATTTGTATACATGCTGCGACCATACCTGACTTATTTATGATTAATGCTTTTTATATAAATTAATGTTTACTGCATAATGGTGAGCACTACGATTTCCAACTGTGCTCATCCCATCTGAAATTAACATTTCAGGTTAAGCAAGGCGGGTACGACTGCGGAGTAGAGCAAGTGGTGGTCGGTCTATGAGACCGATGTTATTAGTTATTGTGCTTCCGCGTTATGAACTGATTTATGATTTATGAACTTGGGATATTTATGCATATATGGTTTTCGGATATTATGAATGCAATAATGTTAAGGAGATGCTCCTTAGATCTATGATTATTGTCGGAACCCGGTTTGGGTGATTGATGAACTTTTGGAAACCCGTTTTGGGAGTTGGAATTATATTGATGTTTGATGTTGAATATGAGTAACGCCACAAATGTTTGAGATGAAATTTAAAAAATTTATTTTGATTTTTTTGAAAGTTCGAAATTTCCTTAAAATCAAAGTGAGGCGTTACAAATGTTATCAACATGTTAACTAAAAATGATATTATCATCCTCAGATTCACTAGCCACACAATAAGTGCTATCTTCCACATAATCTAAACATCATTAATATGTTCCTCCATTAACATTCTATCATTCTCATGACATTTAGAAACAGAATAATGTTTTTCAAGAACTTGCACATAGACAGGCATTTATCTTTCACTTTTTCCAAGCATATATCCAGGCATAAAATAAGAATCATCTACAACAAGCTTGAAAACATCATTAACTATAATGCAAAACCTTTGCTTACCACCATAGATTTTCTCTTTTCCCCATTGAAAAAATTTTTCCATGATCATGTGACCCCTTTCAACATAGTCAAAAACTTTCATAAAACCACTTATGTATCTTTCCTTAAGGACATGCTCAAACTGACCTCAGTGATGCATCACAATAGTCACAACAGAAGAATTCGAATCTGCAATGAAAAAAAAAATAATCAAACATTATACTTTATGCCAAAATAAGGTATGTAAAAAAGGTATAAAAACAAAAAAACTTTCTCAAAATCAAAGATAAAGTCAAAAGCACCCAAAGACCGACATAACTTGTCCACCCTACCCCACATGATTCCATGTTCAATAACCGACAAACATATAAAAAAAAATATTGTGAATGAAAATTTTGAAGTTCATAAGGGACCATAAAAGCATGTATTTATATGGATTTGCGCATAGATATTGATTTTTCTCAGTAAATAAGAAGGGTAACACTTGAGACTTACGATATATGGGAGGGGGCAGGCCAGCGTGAAGCGAGTTTCTGAACTTCACGATATATGAGCGGGGGCAGGCCAGCGTGAAGCGGGTTTCTGAACTTCACCATCTTCGATGGTGTATGGCTTGGATTCAATAATATCACAACAACCTAGGATTCCTTTGACAAATTATAGTTTGTGATTAGGGTTCTTACTTTCCTTTGAAACTCTGAGAAATCGGGAGTTTGGTTTCAAATTTTGAGAAAGAATATGCAATTTTGGGATTAGGGGTTAGATATTGGGGCTACATAACTTTGGTGCCCGGTTTTGGGGTTATTAAATATATTTAAAGAAAATACGTGGAATAAATGAATTATCTGAAAAAAAAAATGACATGGAAACAATTCTGGAGTCCACATCAGTTAATCAGCCGAAAATCGGTCCACATCAGCCTAGTCAACGCCGAAATTTGCCAACTCAGCAAATTCTGGTCGGATTCTGGCGGCCGTGATCGAAATTTGACTAATTTGAGTAAATTTTGAAAGTTTATGGACCAATTTTGGATCGGCCTAAATTACTAGATTAAAATGAGAAGCGACCTATGTTACTGGACTAAAATTGCAATTTTGGCTCGTGCTTGTATGAATAATTTACAATATATTTTTCAAATTAAAAATAAATATAAAACAAGTATGAGAATAATATAAATAAAATATGTCATTTCACTTTATTTATTCCAAAACGTACAGCATCACTTTTAATAATTAGGTCATATAAAGAGAAGCATTTGTAATAAATAAATACCATGACCACCAAAAAATAAAGGAAAATCCACTAGGATTTATTATTGGCAAGGGCTGAAACTAAGCGAACATTTTTGGTAAAAAGACAAAGCAACGAACCGTTACAAACTGAGATTCCTTCCTTATTCCATTTCTACTTCTCAATTTCCGGATTCTTCTTATTATTCACCCTTCCATTAACAGCTCTAACTTAAACATTTTCCACAATCTCTTTTGCTTTCTACAGGCTTCCGTCCTACTTTTCTCGTCTTCGCTTGAGGTTTTTCTGAATTTTGGGTTTTCAGTGGAATTAACAGCCCTTTTCTTGTTTTTGTTGGTTCTCGTTTTGAAAAGGAAAGGTGGAGAAAAGAAAAAAAAAAATGGATTAATAAATTGAAGATAGTGGGGTTGGGTTTAGGTTTTTCTTCTCCGTAAATCAAAAGCCCTTTTAGAGTGTATGCTCAGAGAGGGGTTTATCTTTCGACTGATTTACGTCTTTTCTGCTGAGAATCTGGTAAGAAAGAACCCTTTTGTTTTTCTACACATGATATGTGCTTTATGGTGTTTATTTTTTTCCTTAGTTTGTTATTGTTCTTAATTATTTTGGTCATGAAAGAGTTGTCAGTGATGTATGAGTTTCTTGAATTTGGATTTTTCACTCCAAAGAAAATATGAATAAGTTGTGGGATAAAGAGGAGCTATTTTTTGCCCTTTGTATTTTCTTTCTCTGTATTTACTTAACCATGTTCATATTTGGAAATTGAAAAGTGGTATGAGATATTTACATCTAAAAAGATAGAATAGAGTGGTAATTGAGGTTTTTCAAATGAAACTCTGATCATTCCATCCAAATTAAACTTTTTTTCAGCACAAAAATTAATTGTGATTACCGATTTTGAGAGAACAGAAAGCGTAAAACATGTGATGGGCGATGAAGCCGAAATATGGAGGCTAAAACACACACTTTGTGCCCAACAAAGGCTCCTTGAGAAACTCCACAATGAATTAGACGCCGAGCGTGAGGCATCGGCCTCTGCCGCCAGCGAGGCACTATCAGTTATACTGCGGCTTCAGAGGGAAAAAGCTGCTGTTAAATTAGAAGGCGAGCAGTACAAGAGATTGTCGGAGGAAAAAATATCCCATGCGCAGGAATCACTAGCCATAATCGAGGATATAATCCATCAAAAGGAAATGGAGATAGCTGCCTTGGATTGTCAAGTCCAGGCATACAGGTACAAATTGCTAAGCATCGACTTTGGCGTTAGTGGCAATGTGAAATTCCCAGAATGCCCTTCTCGTGAGAATGGGATTCAGATTGATTCGCAGATGAGGAAATTGGATGATCGGGTGAAAGAGAGTGAATGCACGATTAATTCGTGTGATTTTCCACAAACAATCGCTGCCGATTTGTATGAAGTAGGCATTGTGGATGAAAATAGTGCGAAAAATGGTGTTGGTGTGGATTTTCATTGTCCGAGAGTGCTTGATGTTTTTGAGGTTCCACACATGGGAGGGATATGGGAAAACAATGAGAAAAATATTGAGGATAAAAAATGGGTTAATTGTGAAAAAGAGTTGTGTGAGCCGAGTTGTTTATTGCTTAATGGGACATCGGAGATTGTGAAAGTCGAGAAACCAGTGGAGTGTACTGCCAACAGAGATGAAGAGCTGAAATTGTTGAAAGAGATCAAAGAGAGTCTAAATTTGTTACATGAGGAGATTAGGGTTTTGAAGGTGAAGAAGGAATCTTCAAAAAAGGATGACCCATCATCTCTATGTGCACTCTCAGAGGTGTTGCATTTTTCTTCAGCAATATAATATTTTTAAATAAATGTGTTTCTTTTCATGACTTGTGTGTTTTTTGTGGACTTTGTTTGATACAGGCAATGCTTTACTTTTGGCTTTGATTCTAATAGCTGCTGGAGTGAGTGACATCTGCTTCTAATGGATTCATCATGGTCTGTCTCCTGTACATTTTATCTGTATATATCAAAAAGATACCTGATTGTGTAGAGTAGCTTTGTGATTTTTTATTTTTTTTTTTTTCATCTCATTTTATGGAGGTTATTGTGATTTCTTTATCCTTTTCTTTTTAAGTTTTCAGAATTGTTTTGTAATTTGAGATTGTTCCCTGTATACACTGAGTGAATATGTCCATAGTCGAAATTTCACTTGATTATTTTTTAATATAAAGCTCTATACTGTGTGCACAAATCATTAAATTAAACCCGGGCCTGGTGAATCATTGTGTTTGTGTAGTTGCTTTTGAGGTTTAATCCAATTATTATGTTTTGCTGAATCATTAAAGAAAGCAGTAGAGTGCACGTCTTTTATTCAGAAACCCTGGTGAAAAACAGAGTCCACCACACATCTTGAAGCAACGGAAAAATTCTGAAGCTGAAAAAACTTAAAATTAATTTTAACTATTTATTGATTTGATTTAACCCTGTTTTCTAAACTTTAATGTAAAGCAAAATACGAATCTTATAGAAGATTTTCACAATTTCCTTTTTAATTAACAAAAAGGTAGTTACACCTTTGCCAGACCCCACCAAGAAAACAACACGATCTGATGTGATCCCAGAAACTTACCCCTCAATCTCATAGTTGGGGGTGCAATTTGTAAATATAATCAAATTTTATTCATAACCATCCTTGACTTTTATTTTATACGTAGTCATTGTAGGACTTGAAAAGTTCTTGACAAATAATGTGAATGCCGAGAGTAAAATCAGCAAACATCTTACATAACTCCACCCAAGAAGCATTATTTTGGCTTGAAAAAAGCAAAGCTTCAATTCAGCCCCAAAACACCAGGAATATTAGAGATCACTCACTAGTTCAAGTTTCGGCATGGATTGTCCCATTAAATACGACTTGATTAAAGTCAAAGCTTGCTTGGGTTTATGAAGTGGAACTTCATGGCCTGCCCCTCTTACAGTTACAAAAGTCAACCCTTCGTATTCTTGGGTCCATCCCCCAACCTGTTTTGAAAAATCAGAGCAAAATACTCAATCAACATTTGAAATGCAAACTTCATCTATATGGATTAAATAAAAATCAATCTTGTATAGTAATAAAGCTTTAAACTAATAAGTCCAACGTCTCGTTTTCACAAAATTTTTAGATGGCTGGAAACTGACACATGGCTTTACAAAAGCTGAAAGCTCCATTTTGTGGTGAAATTGTTTAATTTGATTAGAAGAAAAGCGCCTCGGATAAGGTCAGTGGTGCTTTTCAATACACCTTATCTGCACCATTAGACATCCAATAATATGAAGAGTTTTACAAGTTATTGTCCGGCCAATTTGTAATTTCCAGCCAAACTAAGATCAACTTGACTCTTCTCACTAGTTAAAATTTTACGCTCTTTAAAAAAACAATCCTTCCCTTATATATTAATTCAAGACATGTTGAGCCTAAGTGGCAAATTTTCACACGGGATGTTGACATGGCGAAAATCTATGCTTCGTAATGTTGTTTATATATTCATTTTTGCTCTGGAGTTAGGCTTAGTATTAGACATAACTAAATTTTTTCAAACTTGGTAAGTGTATATTTAATTTTGTTATTCTTTTCACTCAGTACACATTTTCTTCTTAGTTTGGGCAAGTAGCAATTGTACAATATTATAATTTTCTCCCATATTTCTCTCCTAAATTACGATTTACAAATCACTTTCTGAGTCTATTCCTCTTTTTTTTTTCTATCAATTAATCCATCAAAATTTTTAAATAAAAAAATTATTTTTGAAATAACTTTTATCATATATTTCTTAACTTAACACTCATGTAGTACACGGGTATTGTACTAGTAGTTTATTATGCACCAAGGAATATATGCTCTGAATATTTTTTTTTTATTTAACAATATACATTAGAGCAGATTTAGTAAGCTGACCTGGCCATCATCATACCAAGGCCGCCAAGGACTAACAGTGGAAAGTTTAAGAGCGTCTATACTGTACCGAGTTGATGTCACTGGAATTACTGCATCGTTGTCACCACTGCAAAAAAAAAACGTCCAACGAGTATCAGAAATGTTTCCAGTAGCTTTTTGCTTCTTTTTTGTTTCACTTTTTCTTTTAATAAATGGAAAAGATGGTGAGCTAACACAGATAAAATCAGAAAACTGGATGAAAACTGTAAGACTCGTTAGATTTTCCTTGAAACTGATTTTTGGCAGAGGCTTTAGTTAGAAAATTGTCAATCTGGAGAGAAGATTTTAGTTAAATTAAAGAATTCATTGCTTACAGAAAGAAAAAAGAGAGTTCATTGCTTACAGAAATCTTGCATAATAAAATACCAGAGATCGAGATTCGATATGGAAAAAGAAAAACCTGAAGATCCATATACGAAGTCCCATATGTAAGAGCTCACGATAGACATCCAAAACCGACCTAGGGCAATCCTTCCAATTATCATACACCACGTCACTGTAAAGAGAATGTAGACAGTCTCTAGTTAGTCAAAGACGGAGAAAAAGTAAACTCACGTGGAACTAAACTGAGGAAATTCAAGAAGTTTACATGACAATTGATCAAATAGATGTAGCAAGGAACATTAAATGAGATCTCGTCAAGATAAAAGTAGAATAAAGGTCATAAACCCACGTAAGACATAAAAATACAAAAAATTAACTATTAGCTATGAAGTATGAAGGCTGAAGCTTCTTATCACACGCATCATGTCATCTTAGTGCTTTCTCAGAAATAGATTTTGCTATAGAAGAACCCCATACTTGTCGACATGAATAACATTAATTAGAAACAATAATACAGCACATTTTCGTTCGTACAAACTTTTTGATCCATATGGTCAAAAGAAACATAGAGATCAACAGAGTTTTGAGAAATGACCCCAATACATTCGACACAGATTTTTATTCTTCTTTATTTCTCTCTCTTTTTTTATTTATTTATTTTTTTGTTTGGTGGGGGGCTTATGAAAACACGTATAGTTTCAATTTTCAATGCTGCTTGTAGATGCGGATGAAAATCAGACCATAAATGCAATTGATTGTAGAAATTATCACAGAGAAAAGAGGATGACATTTGTAGAATTTCATATGAAAAGTAATATAAAATATACAACTTTACCTGCAAGTCTCCCATTTTAATGGAGAATTCTTGCTACGAGCATGCAGCGCTTCTTGAACCTCAGGAAGATTGAAGTACACTTTTGAATGCTGTTCAGTGCAAGGATCATACGCCCTCCTGAGAAGACCAACCTTCTATCAAATGAAAACTACATTCTATTAGCAATACAAATATGAAAATCAAAAGGTGTAGGGTTAACTGTCGATTGAGCCTTCTTCGCAGACCTATTGATCTTACTTAATTTTTTTAAAGGGATAATTACTACTTCTACCTTCAGGTTTTGCCTAAGCTGATAAGGGAAAAGGTTAGCTTTCAAAAATTACAAATACTTTACCAACAATGTTTCATTTAACAAGTTTTCCATGTAAGGAGGCATTTATTAAAAATAATAATAAAATAATAATGGAGGACGAAGAAGAAAACGAACTGAACTTTTTTATAAAATAGGCTAGACCTAAGATAAACCTTTTGTAACTATTAATATCAATCATAATGGAACACAACATCCAATACAGTGGAAGATCATTTGCTCTACTAAGTATATAAAAACTTACACTCTTTTTTCTCCAAGGATAATTCAAACTACTGACATTAGTTGTGCAGGTAGGAGTGAAGATGCTATACATATCAATATCTCCAATTTCTTCATCAGCAATTTCCGTAACTTTCTCACACTCTTCTGGGACATGTATGAATGACCCAAAATCGCATAAGATGTTTAACTTCTTGAAGGTCTGATCAGAAATCATACCAACCGACCACATGAATTGGTAGAGTCCTAAGTGATCATGAAAATCATCGGTCAAAGCATTTCCAACCTGATTGAGAAAAGATATGCTGCCTGCTCAATTTTGTCTACACAAGTCACAAGCACATATAAAATATAAAAAAAGTAAAATAAAAAAAAAGTCACAAGCACATATATAACCTACAATCAAATGAATAAAGTTCGTACCATGAAACCTTTAAGATTGATAATTTCATTTCCACTTTTGTTGTTGTGTCTGACAATAGCATGGCTTAGTTGAGGAACATAGTGACCTGTACATTAGTAAATTGGAAATACAATGCTGTAAGATCACAATAACAACAAAAACAGGAAAGATGAAAAAACATCTCTGAGTGAAATACAATTGCTAATTTCAAAGGATGATCAAAGTCTTTTGTTTAGGTAGCTACCACTCCCGAGACCAATGAACAAAGAAAACATTCTTTTCTGGTGTAAGAAATAATTAAGAGTGAATCACATCATAGAAGAACAAAATGCAATTATCAGTTTAACGGTAAGATAAATCCTTGTTATTAGTACTTTGTGTGATAAGTTCATCTAAATATATATGATGATTAAGTCAACCTCAATTCGAAACTCAATACTTGTCAATACATTTACTGATGATTTTGAAATATCTGAAAGAACAAGAAGCATGATCTTTCCCTTTGGACCTTGTCGATGCAAGAAATAATTTACAAAAGCCAGAAGACAGCCACACTAAAATATTTCACAATTTTGGGTCCACCATCAATTATGTTATATGAAATGATGCTCAGGTAAAGAAATTGACAGTGGGGTTATTGGAACTGCCATAAAATTTTAAAGATTCCATAAAAAGCTGACATAATTCCTCATTAGTTTACTATGATGCTAATATAATGTTATACAAGAGAAAGCACAACTGAGCTACGCAGCAACAAAAATATTATATGGTGGCTTCCAGTTCTTTTGTTTCTTGTTCACTAGTATTAATACGCCGATGACATTAGCCAAAAGAAAAAATAAAATAAAAGGTGTATAATAATATTGAACCAACCAGCATAGCTTTCTCCACTTATGTAGAATTCGCTTCCTTTGTACTGTGGAAACCGTTCGAACCATTTTAGCAAAAATGCTAAGTTGTCTGCGGCTGCAATAACAGAATTTGATTCAAAATCAATAAATGGTATGACTAAACAGCATATGAATTGGCTCTATCAGATAGAAGGCAATACCAGTCCTCTTGTCGCCGTTATTCAGTATATCCGAGGAAGTGTTTGAATATGAAAATCCAACTCCAACGGGAGAGTCCAGAAACAATAAATTCGCAGCTGCAAATATGGCAAACCTTGAGCAATATTATCATGAAATCCAGTAATCACTTTGTAACTAAAAAAAAAACATGCTAACAGATGATAATAAACGAATAGGACGAGCACAAAGTACATAAGGAATACAAATGAAGCATGCTGAGTGGGGAAATGAAACGAAACTCAATTGATTTTTCTTACAAACTTATAGGTAAAACAAATATGTACCAAATGTGTAATATATTATGAACTCATATGTACCAAGAAAACTGGACAGACATGCATCAGTTTTGAAGTACTTCAACATTCACTATGAAATCATCCAAACTCAATGCACGAGATGTGGCAAAATACTTCAGATGATATGGAACCACAATAGGTACAATAAAAAATGCAGCATATTCAAAATCCAAATTCTAAGGGGGAGCCTAATATATTTCTTAGTTCTTTTGTACACATATGATGCTGGGATTAGATTCATTCTCAAATTCAAGAGTTTAAGGCTGTTATCAAGCAAGCAAATCCACAAACCGTACCTTTATTCCAAGAATATGGATTCAAGTAAAGAGTCTTCCCATCTTTCTCAATATGAAATGGCCCAATTTCCTCAGCAAGTCCAAATGCAACAGATGAACATCCTGGCCCTGAATATGAAACCAACGTTCATAAAATTCGGCAGTACATTAGCTGCAGACTTCAACAATAACAAACTAAAAATAATAATATCTCAACACACACACACACCGCAATCATCCATTAAATAACACCCATAAACAACGAACACTAATGCATTAACTATCACATACAAAGACACATTTGAGATTGAATTAATTATTCACCTCCATTGAGCCAAAGAACAATAGGCTTGGAAGAAGGGTCCTCATCAGCCTCGAAGAACCAATAAAATAGTGATCTCCCAGATTCTTTACTTACATTCACGTAACCAGCATAGTGCGAAAAGCTCACATTAAAATTTTGCCCAGGAAGCTTTGAAATTCTGTCTAGCTGCTGTTGGTTATGTGGGTCCGAAGACAGTCCTGAGCTGCAACTGATCAGATGGAAGTTGGAAAGGCAGATAATAATGACGAAAATGTTGGAAACCCAATTGGAATTGGACATCTTTCCAGGGTTTCCTGGAATTGGGTTGGGAGGAAAATATTGGAAGCTACTTATTGCAATAGTGGTGTTTAGATCATGAACAATACAAATTTTGGTGATAAGAATTATTGCACACTATCCAAGACGGGTGTACTAGATTAACTCCGTACCATTCAATTTAATCTATAGTACACATTGAGTGATAATTAGGGTTGAGCATGGGACTCGGAGAACCGAACCGAAATCATTCCGAACCGAAAAATATTCGTTGATCATTTGACTTTCTCCGAACCGACCCGAACCAAAAAAATATTTGATACGGTTCTGGATTTCATAAATATCCGTACCGAGAACCAAACCGAACCGTCCCGTACCGTACCGAACCGAAGAACCGAAATTAAGAACCGAATTATAAAAATAAATGCGTGTTATTACTATATTTTATGTCAACTTTGATCCTATATAATTTGAGAATTTTTAAAATACAAATAAAATATAGTAATAACAATTAAGATTCACTTACATTTCATGTTTAGTAATACTTGATCTACAATTGAATTTCTCATGTTTAAAAAAAAATAAATGGAATGAAAGGTTAAAGATTTTAAGAAAAAGATATTTAAACTTTACTTAAAGTTGTCCATACTTACCCTTAGTTTATCTTATAACTAACATGGTATGGAAGATTAAATAAATATTATTTTAATATAAAACTGTATTATATTTTGTTTGAATTTAAGTTTTCAATGTTAGTTGAATTTAGTTTTAACTAAAATTTAGGGTTACTTCTAAAGTTGATTTAAAAATAAAATCTTTAGTATGATGAGGTATTGATGAATGTTGGACTTAAAAAAAACATTTCTTGGATTGCATCGACTGGTGAACTGGCTTAGAGGGAGAACGAAGAAGAAGTTCAATAAAAATAAAATATAACTAGGTGGTCATTCAAAAAAATTTTAAAAATGATAAGAAATCTCCGAATATCCGAACCGAACCAAACCGAGCCGAACCGTTCCGATAGTCCTGAAAACCGAACCGAACTGAACCGAACCGAAAAATAAAAATCTCCGAACCGGACCGAACCGATATTTTGATACGGTTCTGGAGATCGAATTTTAGTGATCTCCGAACTTCGGTACGGTTCTGGAAGTTTATCAATCTCCAAACCGTACCGACCCATGCTCACCCCTAGTGATAACGGGTGTACTAGATTTAACTATGGACATTCAATTTAGATATGATACAAGATAATTTTTATCATGTGTATGATTGACACAAGATAAAATTTTATGGATATAATGTGTTATACATTTGTTACCTTTTTCAAATAATAGGATAACTAATGCATTTACTAATTTGCCCACTAAAAGAATTTTTTTTCCTTTGAAAAAAATTAAAAAAAAAAAATCCTCTTCACAGTTTTACACGCAACTACACAAGAAGTAGAATTTTGTATTTTTGTTTTGTATCTTTTCCATTTCTCCATAGATTCACCATCTATTTTATCTTTATTTTCTTTTTCCAAATCGTGCCAAACGAAACACCACAAATCTGCTCTCATCAAGATTATGCTTCAAACGGTAAAAAGTTGCGACCCACAATAATTTCCCGCATTTTTTTTTGTATCCCCAACTTAGCAATTAGAAGTCGCGGAGCAGTTGACGAAAGCTTCGAGAGAAGGAGAGGAAGGAATTGGGCAACGCATGTGTGTACGACATGGTTTGTGGTGGGCGGAAGATGGGAAGGTGCCTATCTGAGGTTGTTGGGAGGAAAAGGGACAGCGGGATTTGAGGCGTAGTGCGAGCAAGAAGTGTCAGAAAAGCGATGGAGGCGGTAGCGGGTGGTGACGGCGATGATTGTTCGTACATGGAGGATGAGATCAGCGGCGGGTGCAAACATTTAGGAAGGAGAGGTTTTTTAGGGTAAATATGTAATTTCTTGATTTTTCTACTATACAGACATACCCAATCTTACCCCCTGAGGCCGGATCAAATTGTCCTGGAAAACCACGATTTTTCTATTGTGCATCACGTGCCTAATCTTATCTGCCAGGCCGAAATCGTGGGAAACAAACGAGTGATAAAGGGTGGATTCAAGGCCTAATCCTATCATGTCCAGACCAACAGACATGCTCTTAATCTATAGCACACATTGAGTGATAAGAGATAAGATTTGTGATTAAATGACTTCTACAAATAAATGTGGAGAAAAATTTTATTATTAGTTTTGATATTTGGTTATCGATATATATTGAAAGAGGTTGATAGAACAATCTAAAATAGTAACTTTTACCTTGTAATTAAATAATCTGAAATAATCTATAGTGCACATCGATTGATAAAGAGGTTTTGAAACACCTCTTTCGGCCGATGTACATTGCTGCTTCTTTTCGTCAAGTCGCAAGTCACAGCTCATCAGGTCTCCAAGTCGCAGGTGCGTGCTCAGCTGGGGCACTGGCTGCGTCTTCAGGCACTAGGGCTACGTCCCGTACGTACGGTGCAGCTATGGTGTTGCGGATGTTGCGGGTCGTTGCTGCGCTGTGGCGTTGTGATGAAGATCGTATATCCCGACTCTTTGGATTGCTTCGAAACTTGTACTGACGCTTTGATTTCTAAGTGGGATAGGTTGCTAATACCCGTGTCGACGCGTTGGTACTTCGCAGTTGTGTGACGAAAGACGCGTGATAGGCCTTCTTTTGACACGGTTTGTATGATAAAACTCACTGGAATTTTAACACACAAGAGGTTTTGCCCAAGTTGGATGATTTTCTAATTAATTCTTGAATGATAAATTTGAATGAGTACATAAGCCTATTCATAGGATAGAAATCTAATTTTATGGTGCTGGTGAAATGGACTTCACTCGGGCTCCTTCAACTTGGATGGCCTCCGTATTTGCAAGAACTCAACCCGGACTTCTTGCAATTTTTCAGCTTCTGACAACAGATCTCTTGGTTTTAATGTGGTTGACGATGAACCTTCCTTGCCACTGTCTAGTGCTTCTTTGGTGAGCGGATGAGTCTATCCATTTTCCACGCTCTCTCATGCACCTTTACCAAGGGATCGCAAGAAGATTGTCATCATAGATTTCCAATATGAATAATTCGATCCATCCAATTGCGGAGGCCTGGACATGGATCCACCATCGTGCTTCATGGTTACCCGTTAATAAGTCCTCAAGATCTTCGTAAATAACGTACGGAAACACGCTTTGGTGCCAATTGAAATTTTGGGGAAGGTATACAGAATTGCGCTAAGTAAATAACTCAATAAACTTGAATGAAAGTTCGAACAATTTGCAGAAGATTGGTTCTACAAAACATGAACCTNCTCCCCTCTGGAACTCTTTTCATTCGTATAAGTGTTTCGGCCATTACACTAAGGTTTTACAATGCAGACTCCCTCTCTACTACCTTCAGTATAACCACCTATACAATTACGTTTCCGACTACAAATCCTTTGTAAATTTTTCAACTTGAATACCTCAAGTTGTTCTAAGTGTTCCTCCCGAACACTTACCCAAACAAAATGAATATAGTTTTTTCTCTAAGAGATCGAGAACAGGCTCTTAACTCACCACCCAATAAAATAAAGTCAAACTTACAAAAAAATGAATAGAACACTCAAGAACAAGCTCACGGCACTCAAACTTCTCACATGAACAAAAGACACAATTTTCCACTATGTCTTCGTGCCTTCTTTTTTTATCTCGCACACTCATATGGAATGTCTCCATCTTCAATTTATTTTCTTCAAATACTGCATCCAGGTTCACTTCACTGCCAAGTCACACTCGATAAGATAAGTTCCTTGATTGATCTGCTACTGCCGAATAACATATGTTGATCACGCGGCTTAAAACACTTCACATGGTAAATGCAACTGTTCCTTGTTTAAACGTTTGTTTAAACGTATCTCAAAGATATTTCTCTTGATTCCCTGCACAATTAATAAACATATCAATAATTTCAAATGAATAATATCAAGGAATAAAGAAAAATAAAATAAAATAAAACAAGAACTTCCTTAAATACTCCAGCCTGTAGTTATTAGATGATGAAGGTTTCATGCTTCACCGGAGTTTGTCGATTTAGTGCCAAACTTCAAATAATTACAAAAGGAATGACTCGCGTTCTTGCTCTTAAGTCTTAGGTCTCAATTTTAGTTTCTGTCTTTTTCTGTTTGTCTTTTGTCTTTTGGTTGTTTTCTTGTATTCCTGTTGTTGGTTGGAAAATGGGAACCTAGCTAGGCGGTTGTTGCAGTGGTTAGGTTCTTCTTTTGTGAACTTCTCTATGTCTGTTGGAGTAGTCTAAGGTTGTTGTTTTTGCCTTAGAGCACCCACAATTCATTGAGTCCAATATTACATATGTGGCATATAAATGGATTTAAGTCCTAAATGACAAGGACAAACTCAAGTAAAAAAATCCAAAAGTTATCTAATGCAAAAATAAAATACTAGGTCTAGAATATCTGTCAACCAATAGAAATGATCTAATATTTTTTCTATATTAAAAGGCAAATTAAATTAGAAATAAATGTTGAGTGTTCAGGTTTGTACTTGGGCTCATAGACCCAAGTGTGGACTCGGTCTCATTTTTTGATTGCCACATAAGTTAGACCATGTCTAATTTTAATTGCATTGGAAAACATTTTTTTATATAATAAGTCTATTTCCTATGTGGCATGTGATATTTTTCTATGAAACCCAAAGCATTGTGGGTGCTCTTAGCTACGGAGTTGTGTATCTAAGCCAATCCATGTTTGTCCTTCCATGTTTTCCTTTCTGTATTTGCCAGGTTTTACCATTGTCGTCGAACTTTGTTTCCTTTTGAGTTTTATATTATCCTCTATCGTTTCGAAAAAAAAAAAAACTATTTATATTATAGTTATACTTTTCTTAAATTTATTCCATCTTATAAAGTTAAAGAAATACTTCTATATTTCTACAGTTGGTTTCAAAATGAATCTTTAATATGGACTATTGATGAATGTTTTTCTAAATAGAAAAACTTGAAACTTGAAAAACAGATAGAAATCTCCAAAGTTCCGAGTCGAACCCTATTGTTCCGATAGTCCAAAATACTAAAAACCATTCTTATAGTACTCAATACCCAACCAAACCGAACCGAAAAGTAAAAATCATCGTACCGAACCGTCCCGATTTTTGTTAAGCTTTAGAGAATCAATTTTAGTGATTTACGGTTCCGGAGATTGAGCAGGTGCTCACCTAAGTGCAATAGATAATCATCAAGTTGAAGCATAACAAATAAACATTTTTAGGCAAAAATATTACAAGGGGAATATGAATAGAATCGCTCAAGTCGAGGGCTACTTCAGTCCCATAACAAAACGTACAAATAACCCTTTGCGTTAGAACACAATAAGCTCTACATAACAATTAAAACAAAAACTAAACATCAGCTTCAGTTCAACCGATTTACTTTCAGGTATGGCAAGGCACCAATGACATTGTTATAGTCACTACGATCAACTTGCACCTGCAAATAAAGAACACAACTCCAAAACTCATTCATGAGACGATTAGCCAGTAATTGCAGGAAAGAAAAAAAAGGAGTAGAAAATAAAAGGACAGAATTGGTAAAACGGGCCAGTCAGTTCAATAGGGACAATCTGGAAGTCACGGATTCCACGGATCCTTTCAAAACATAGTAAAGCATAATATCAGCAGGAGACAACACAAAACTATTTGCATATTTATTTCTCTTTCAGTTACATGTTTACGTGGTCGAACCATAATGTACCAACTCTAACGAGTTCAACTTATTGTTTTCACCACCTTCAAAAATCCATGAAGGAATGATCCTGTAGCAAATAATCAAATGGTGGTTGATGGTTTTCAGTGGTAAGGATGATATTTGTTAATGTAATAACCTCAATTCTGTAACACGAGACCTAATTAGTAACTATACATGTACAGAAGCTGGAACACAGCACCAAACCATATTACATAACCTATTCCAACAAAATTATTATACCATAACAATAAGTAAAATATATAATTCAAAACACGTAAGCTGAAGCAAAAATGAAATTAGGGAGTACGAAATACTCTAGGGTATTGAATAAAGCATGGATCAATGCTCTTTGTATCCTTAAGAGGCACAATTTAAAATTTTACAAGCAGGTAAAGTTCATGTCTTCAGAGCAGATAGATTGACCTCCTCCAAAAATTGATTTACCATTTTTCAGTAAAAGTTCTAGCGAATTCCACTGGGAAGAGGTAAATGTCAAGCTTAAAACCAGTCGTGCGCCACAACAACCTCCGTACCCTTTCAGAAAAACACTCCTAACATTTCTATGCTTCGACTAAAGAACTGTACATGTAGCTCTCAATTTCACATGAAAACTCGAATATTTATAATCTCTCTGTAACTTTATTAGAAAGTTCATCTATGCTGTAACATATTCTTCATCTAACTTTATTAGATAGATTGACATCCCAGCTAAACACCATTCAAACCCTATCCCTTAACTAATTCTATTGTCACTAAGCGCGAAGATTCACGAACTAATCCAGGTAATTAAACTCTTCTTACCCTTTAGGTTATACTTCATGATGCTCTACAAGAACTGTGACATTTATCTAAATAGCTCGCTGCTCATTCCTGCTACATTTCTCACTAAGTAAAAATTACACAAATTTCAGATTTCACCACCGCATATACTACACGAAGGTGAACAATCTGCGCACAATGAGAACAGTACCTGAATTTAATAATTTAATCGAGCAATAGATTTTTAGCAAAAAGAAAGACAAACCGTTTTAGAGAGTCTCAATCTCCTCTTAGTGTTCTTCTTTCTGAGCAAGTGCTGCTTCCCTGCTCTTCTCCTCATTATCTTCCCACTCCCCGTAACCCTAAATCGCTTGGCCGAAGCCTAAATTTTCCCATTCGAAAACTGCAAATATTAGAAAGCAAAAATACCCGAAAACACAAACACGCACACGGAAATTCCAAA